TAGCAAAAACCTATAACAACCTAGTGATTCCAGACATGAAAGCCTTTGACAATACAACCCTGTATATTGTATTTGCAAACCAAATCTAGGTTGCCCAAATCCAGAAAAGTTCCCAGCACCAGGCAGCGGATTCTTTCAGCAGCATCGGCTTACGCCTGACCTGTTTTCAAGCTGCAAATTCCTTGCCTTGTTGCTCCTCCATAGTTTCCAGAGCACCACTTGGAATCCCTCCAAGCCTGGCCCTGTCCAGGTTCATTTTAGGACAAGAGTTGACATGACAGTTCAGCACCTGCCCTGCCTGGCCCATCCTTTAGAGAGGATTCAGCACAGATTTAACACTGGCAGCTTCCAAACTTTTTGGGATCACAGAAACGTATCATCATATAATTGGAAGAGACGACAAGAGCCATTCAATGCAACTTGCTTCTGCTAGGCAGGAAGACACAATCAAAGCAGCCCTGACAGATGGACATCTGCTTCAAAGCCTCCAGAGAAGGAATCCTAGGCAGCAGCATATTCCACTTTGAACTGCTTCTACCCTTTGTAAGTTTTTCCTAATCTTCAGGTGGAATCTCTTCTCCTGCAGTTTGAATCCACAGCAGTACAAAACAAGCCTGTTCCATCCACAATGGGACATCCTCCCAACTATTCCAGCATGGTTCTCATGCCCCGTTCTCTCAGTCTTCTCTTCTCCAAGCTAAATATACTCAGCTCCCTAAGTAGCTCCTCAAAGGGTTTGGCTGCCAGGAAGTTGACTGTTTTGGTCGTCTTTCTCTGCTTGTCCATATCCTCCTTGAATTGTGGTACCCAGAGCTGGACACAGTGTCATTCCAAGTGAGGTCTGACCAAAGCCAAATAGAGCAGGACTATGACTTCCTTCCGGACCAGACACTATCTTTCAATTGAGGCAACCTAAAATCTCATTGGCCTTTTTATTTATTTATTTACTCTATTTATATACCTCTTTTCTCAGCTCTCAAAGCGGTTTACAGTAGCAAATATTAGAATCATAGAATCAAAGAGTTGGAAGAGACCT